AGCGCCGAGTACAATGACCTCAGTTTTATCTGAGTTAAGAAGCAGAAAGTTAGTGGCCATCCAAGTCTTTATGTCTTTAAGACATTCCTGCAGTTTAGGATCAACCCTGATAGGCTTAAGATTACGTCAACTCTATTTTATTTATACAGCACCAAATCACACCAACAGTCTTCTCAAGGTGCTTTATATATCGTAAGGTAGACCCCACAATAATACATACAGAGAAAATCCTCCCACCCTCAGTGACAGATCTGTGATGTATGTGCAGTCATCTGCAGGGAGACATTATCACTGATGATTACTTGCTCTGCTTTGGCTGTAGACCAGCTGAGCTACACGGGGCAGTTTTATGACATCAGGAGCACCCAGAGGTGAATATTATGTTTCGCTCATTTTGCAGTGATGTTGCCCTGCACGGTACTGAGAAAAGTGCAAGTAATCTAAAGAAAATTGGATTACATTTTGTTTAATCTTTGTGTTAGTACAGTGATTTGTGTTGAAGTGAGCTCAGGAACAAGAGAAAATCTGAAGTGCTGTCAAATACTTTTTCACAGATACAGCGTGACATCTTGCTATGATAAATTCCTGAATCCAGTGGTGAGCTCAGCTTAATGCTCTGAGGGCTAAGTCATCATCAGCGCTTTCACCAACCCTAATGCTAACTCCAGAATATGTCACTTCTGTTGCATTACTCTCACAAGAATCAAGAATTAAGAAGTAAATGCAAATCCAGTTTTTGGGTAGCCTTCCTACCAAACAGATACAGAAGTGAGCTAATTGCATAAAGTGCTCGGCAAAGGTAAGAGCTTTTACCACTCATGGACCACTGTGTCTTATCATGTGTGTAAACTGTGTCAGAAAGATGACTTTACTATACATAGACTGATCAAACGTATTGTTGTGCGTAATCACTGCCCCAAAAGACCCATGTTAGCAATCTCTTGATATCAGTCACCAGCAGTGTTGGTCAAGTTACTTGAAAAAAGTAATCAGTAACTAATTACTGATTACTTCCCCAAAAAAGTAATCCCGTTACTTTACTGATTACTTATTTTCAAAAGTAATTAATTACTTAGTTACTT